TCCGTTGTTCCACACATATGTGGTTACAAACTGCTGGATTTTGGAACAGGAGATTTTTAGCCGATAAAATGTCTGAATGTGAACGTCATCAGAAAGGAACTTGTGGCTCCCTTCTGGATGTGGTTTTCTGGGGTATTTTTGATGGAATTGACCTTTGAAAGTGTTTTTTTTTCTGATCAGGGAGCTGTTTCTGATACTTCCCTTATTGGTACCATTAGGATATTTGAAATCCTTTCCATCCTTTAAGGCCAAATAAAATAGTCTGGGCCAGGAGAGCAGGTCCCAGATGAGAAGGGGTCTGAGCATCACATGAGAGGAGGGGGGCAGGACACCCAACCCCTGATGGATGGACCAGAAATGCAGCCAGAGCCACAGACGAAATGCCTGGGCACTGGTGGATGCAGAAGCCATCGGTGCCCGTGTTCGCCTGCGCCACGAGGCCACGGAGGCACCGGGGGTGGCCCTGCTGAGCATCGCTCCTGCTGCAGCACCAAGAAACCCAGAAAAGCCCTAAACTGGCCCAATTCTGGGTGAGCGTAACAGTTGGCTCTGGAGAGGGGACAGCCACCCAGCCCAGGTCCCACACGTCACCCCGCCGTGCCTGCTCCCCCGTTTCTCATGTTTCACATCCCCGATGCAGCTGCCACAGCGGCTCCTCAGCCTCCTCCACCCTCATCGCTCCCGTTTCCACCTCCACGGGCCATCCTGGGTCCGGCGTTCCCGGTCCGTGGCTGCGCTCCACGACTCTGCCCAGCTGGATGCGAGGACATGGAGGCTGGAGAGGCGTTTGCTGTCTGGGTCCCCAGGGAAGGGGCCGGGTCCCCCCCTGTCCCTGCTCACCCGGCTGCCCGCCGCTGCGGGAGTGCAAAGCAAGGAACATCTCCCAGGGTTTACACAGCAGCTGGACGCAAACCAACTGAGAAATCAGGTGCTCCACCAATACTGATCTGAAAAGCAGGTGGGCAGAAGAAGCAGAGGGAGTCTTACTCTCTGCGTTAATACAATTTTAAACCCCGCTCCTTTGAGGGTCAGGAGCACAGGGCTTCCTCCCTTAGAAACCCTGTTCTTCTGCTCCATTTAAAAAAAAATGAACCAGTGCCTGCTCCCGGACCAGGTCTTGCTCAAATGAAGTCACTAACTTTGGCAGAGGGACGGAAAACAGGGAGATGAAGCAGCAGAGAAGTTACTGAACGACGGAACGATGCACCAGGGAGAAGCTGTAGGTGTTCGTAAAGTCCAGGGGCCAAAAACATCCCCGAGCTGGAAACCCTGAGACACAAACAACTCCTGGTGTTCGCTGCGTTGCTGTGATTCAGACACAGAAGGAAGTGTTGCAGCTTCCAAGGCAAACTTCATTAATGCTTTGCCTTTCTCTGGAGACATCTCAAGCTCAGCCTACCACTGACAAAGCTTCGCTTCACCGCTAGGAAGCGTACGGCCTGAACCACCCGAATCTGAGCCGACACAGAGAAACTGCAGCCGAGACTCAGGAGGAATAACTCGGCTCTCGCTGCCGTGCGTAAAGCAGGGCGGGAAGTCGGCTGCAGAGCAGAGAATTTGACCACGGGCCGGCATTTGTACGCACCTTCGTGAAAGTCCAGGATTAAAGGAAATCGGAGGAAAAAAAAAGGGGAGGCCACGAGGTGTAGGAAAGGGTTAAGTTCAGGGTCGGTTTACAGCTAAACTTGGCGCTCAAAAAGTTACTGGGTTAGGCTAAGATAGGGGACAAAAATGAGCCCTAAAAGCTTTAATCCAAGATGATTGTATATGCGGCAGGAGGAATTCCTACGCAGCGATGAGCCTCAGCCTTCCTGGCAAGCGCTTCCTCCAGGTCTGAAAGCCCAGCGGGGTCTGTAATCAGTTCTCTGCTGAGCCAACAACAGTTGCAGCCACAAACAGTTATGAGCTGCTGCAACGAAAAGAGGAATAAAAAATTAAAAAACCCAAATCCGCTCCGGACCTGGGAGCTTATCGAATCTCCTGTCGAGCCGCAGGGTGAAAGCCGACGATGAACAGCGACGTGTTTGGAAGCCTCGCCGCACGCTAACATCAGGTGGATCACCCCACCCCTCACCCAAAATTCCAGCCCAGGAAGGGGTACGTGCAGCCCACGTCGCTGGGAGCCCGCGGCAGCTCCACAGGTGACACCGGGATCACCAGGAGGACCGAAAACAGCCCCCGCGCCCCCCACGGCGCGTCCTTAAACCTCGCTCCAGCTCTGCCGCACCCACCCACCTCCTGACGGACGAATCCCGACCCGACCCAAAGGACGTGGGGATGAGCCTGCTTTTAAAAGTAGTTTATTTGGATTTTCCACATCCTTTAATGAATCGCAAATATATTAACAGAAAAGACTTTTTTTTTTTTTTCTCTAAGACTGTACAATTTTTGAAATAAAAAGTCAGGAAAAGCAAAAAAAAAAAAAAAAAAAGGAAAAAAGACAAATTACATTGTTTCAATGCAAATAGTACACACCACACCCACACTTTGCATTTCTCCATAGTTCTGTTGTAAGAAAATGACGGTTCCCTAATTCTTTTCAGTGAACACACTTGCTCTAAGCGGGCTGCCAGAGGGCATTCATGCTTGCCGTCCTCCTCCCTGCCCCTCTTCAAAGAGAGCAACATTTTATTGATCAAATACTAATTTTGTGCATTTATTTCGAAGGTAAGATAGCAGCATGGTCGAAATGTTACTTGAGATTCTTGGGAAAATAAGAATCACTTTAAGGTACGATGTACATACAAAGCAAGGGACAGTTTGAAGCATTAAATCTTCCAGGCAGCACGAGCATCTTTTGAAGAGCCCAGCTGAACCGAGAGCTCCTTCCAGGGTGTTGGGAATTTTACTACAGTTGTTCACAATTTTTAGAGAGCAAAAGAAAAGGGAAAAAGCCACCTCATTCCCTGGATCTCCGCTCCCTGTTTCAACAACGGCGTTTGTTACGGAAAAGTCTGGAGCGTAGCACCTGCTTACTCCTGCTTTTTGCTCAGAAAATGCATTGGGAACCAAAGGGAAGGCAATTAACCCCGTGATCGGTGGCACTGACACAAGTGCTGCCCCCAGACCTTCCGCCGAGGGGCTGCTCCGAACTCCTCCTCGGGCAGGACGCGCTGGGAAGCTGCGCTCACGCTGCGGCCGGGTGGGAAAACCACGCCGGGAGGGAGCCGCGGGAGCACCGGGCGGGAGCTCCAGCATAGGCGCAGAGCAGCGCTGGGGGAATCCAAACCCTGGGTCTTCCTCGGGGAGGGAATCGCCCCAGAATAGCCAAGATTCCGCCCGCTGGAGGCAGCTGAAACGGGTCATGATTTTCCAGTCCATCCATCAACCTTCCAGACAGGAGCTGGGCAGAAATACGCGGTGGAGGCACAAAGCTCCTTTAATATATTCTCATTCCTCAGATTTTAGAAATTCCTTTTCACGCTACTGGGGGTGTTTAAGCCTATTTTTTACTGGTTAGCCTCCTACTTCCAAAAAAAAAATACATCAGAGAATTTTATTTCTGCTCAGCACTTGTGGATTATTTTGAAAGGATCAAGGTGTCCGTGTGGCTCTGCCCAGAGGAGAGGTGACAAAGATGCGCCCAGGGTAGGACAAGGGCAGAAGGCGAGACAGCCAAGTTCTAAAGGTGACTGAAAGACCCCTAAAAACCAGTACATTAAAGAAATAAAAAGACTATCAAGACTGATCACAACAAATATTGCTATGAAATTTATATCCTTCCCAATTTATTATGCATAAATTGCTCTTTAAACTGCTCGTATCACACACTTTGTCATCGCTGCATGAAGGGCACCAGCTCTGGCTGCAGAACGCTACAGAGAAAGAGAATTTGGACTCGTTAACGTGCCCCAGCTTCCTCCTCAGAGAAGCAGCCGCTGTAGATGAGAGACGTGTTCCTAGAGTGAGAATCTTAACAGTTTAAAAAAGAAGGAAAAAAAAAAAAAAAGACAGATAATTGCACATTTTTGCATCCTGCTTGGACCACACGTTACAACAGTTTTAAAAATGATACTAATCAATCTCAGACAATTATTTGATGCGTTTGACTAAGGTTGTGATTGTATTAAGGCTTCCACGGTCTTCCCAGTCTATCTGCTCAGAACCACGCACTCTGGATTAAGGGTTTGATGTTTCCAGGTTACAGTTATATCTACATTTCTCTCTTGATTTTGCCCTTTATTAATTTTTATTCTTAGAAGGGGAAGAACAAGTCAAGGGGTATATGAAAAAATGAAGCAAGGTGGTGCCGACTTGTCTCTTTGAAGCACAAAGTAAACACTGACCTTTCAGAAACTAGGTGAATAAATTAATTCTGGGGTAGAACACGAAAGCATTCCAGGAAAGCTTCGATTCTGCAATGTGATCCTCCTGCTACGTTTCCTGCAAGTCTGCACTCTAAGCAGGGACACGGGGTATCCGCCGTGGTCTGACACGCTCCCAGGCCCGAGCACGTGCGTCCTGTTTGTTCACCGGAGACGCTGCAGCTTTAAGGTCATGTACATTCCCTGGCATTTAAGTTACACTACAATATGCAAAAGTCTTTTAACAGCCTGCATTTGTCAACACTGTCCTTGAAGAACTTGGAAATGAGGTTCAGCACTCTGCTTACCAAGAAAGAACCAAACTAAGACACATTTCTGGAAAAAGAACAAGACACTGCTTCATTAGTACTATCCCCACAGCTACTGGCTTCGTTACAGCAAACCACAAGTCTTTCTTCCATGATATTTTTCCAGCAAAGGGGAGTCCAAAAATAGCATTTCCTCCTCAGTCACTTTCATAAATGTCTAAGAGCCAACTTAGTCAGACTCGGTAGCAGCTGAATATTGCACTGCCATTAACTCGGTGTACAGTTTTCGTCTGGGTGGTGTACGCGTGGTGTCAGCGGAGAATAATGACAATGCTGGCTCAGTGACATGAAGACCCAGGATGCGAAGGAAGGGGAGAACACAACAGTACCAGTCACACACTCAAGCTCAGATACTGGCTTTGGGAGGTTAAAATTCATCACTCTCAACTGCGTGGAGCTGTGTGTCATCTGCATCCGTCATGCTGCTCTCTTGGGATTCGTCCGTGCCAACTTGAAAGAAAAAGAAACACAAAGTAGTCAAACGCTACGGGGCTGCTTCGCTACAAAGATTCCTCCACAATCCGCTCCAGAAACACAGCGGCAATGGGCTTGGGCTTCCCCTCTAAACGCTTTAAAGCCGCAAGGCTTTTCCCTGCCAGCTCAATGAAGTCTAAATCAATCATTTAGAAAGGAACGAACACGAAGTGCCTATTGGCAACACACGCTGCCGTGGTCATCTTCTGTGAAAGGGCTGACACCCAGTTAGGGAGGGATTGGTACAGAGGGTTCCCAAACTGCCCGAGGAGCAATTTAACCTTCCCACTCCCCCGAAACACTCAGGCTCGCATTAGCTACCCGCTGCGTTAGTGCCTCGTGACCACTCAACTTATAATCAATATTCAGTCAGTAGCGTCAGGCAGCCTCTACTCGCTCCCGTGACAAAGAACACCGTGTGGGCTGTGTGGTAAGAGCAGAGAGATGCCCTTTGAGTAAACCCATCAGATGGTTCTGATGCTGAAGGAGGACTCTGCTCGCCCAGCGCAGAGGATGGCCAGCCTAGAGCTTCCAGGAGAGCTGGAGCCCTCCTGCTGTTTGCACAAAGACAGCCTGAAAGGGAAAGGGGAAGCCCAGGGGTTGCCCTTAAACAGTCACCTTCTGTGCTTGTTAAACGAAGGCGAAGCTCGAAGGATGGCTGTTCTTCACACACAGCAACGCGACCCGGGTCTGCCTTCCGCAGCGCAATTTAGCACGTTAATTGTAAATTCCCAGGTGGTTCCACAGGGAGAAACAGAGAGGCCTTTTACGGCTTTAATGCAATCGCAGGTTCCTGTACGATGGACTCAGCCAGGCCCACGCTGAGCCATTGAATGCACAAAAGGGCCTACACCAGCCAGCAGATTAAACACAACTCCCCCCCTCCGCCCTGTCCTACTTTTAGGATACATGTGCCAAGTAAACTAAAGTTATTCAGCTGAGACTGAAACTCTTCTGCACAGCCAGGGAAGCCAAACTGCTTACACACAGCCCGACTCTGCTTTGCTTTGTGCACGTTTATTGGACAGATTAAGTTGCTGGGGATTTTCTTTTGTTTGTTTTGGGGTGCTTTTTTTGGTGTGTGGGGGCTCTGTTTTGTGTTGTTGGTCGAGTGTTTCTTTTTTGTTGTTGGTGTTTTGGGTTTTTTTTGTTGTTGTTTTCTTTTTAAACTGCTGAGCAACACCCCAGCAGTACAAGGACTCTGTCTCCATCTCCTGGTCAGACACACGCTCAGCCCCCAGCGAGGCAGCATTCTAAGTCAGCCCAACCACAACAGCCAGGAGAGAAAAAAACTCTTGATACTTCAGGCAGTGCAGGGGAAGCTTCCAGGATTGAAAAGCACACACTGTAGACAGGATCAATAAAAGTCAACGTGACACACAGGAGGAAAGGGTGACAGCTTTTTCAGTTGAAGATGTAGAATTGCAGAACATAGCATACACCCAAACCTGCTGTATTTTCCTCTTTATAGCAAAAGAATTAAATTGCTTATTAGTATTTATTTTCTATCACTATTTCAGTCTGCATCAGAGGTCAATACTCATGACTACCCATGCTTCACAAAGCTGCCCATGCCTCATGGAACTCAAGCTCATAATAAAAAGAAGAGAAACCCAGGCCCTTCCTTTTTGTGGATCATTCCCAAGGAGTATGAGTGGTTTATTTTCTCTCGATTCAAATGAACCTGCTTCCATGACTTTTGTCAAAATCTACCTTTTGTGTTTAGCAGATCCAACATCCAGTTTAACTTTTGACAAAGCCTCTACAGACTATTTCAGTTGCCATTCAGTTACCTTGAAATGATTTGATGCTTCTGTGAGGGAACATTTGTGGCTCGGGGAACATCTGGCTCTCCTAGGATACTATCAGCCAGCCACGATTTGTATGAATTTACATTAGTCATTATCTCTGTCCTACCCCATCTACAGATTCTAAAGAAACGTCACAATCCTTTACTTCATGCTTACTGTAGGAAACACAAATGAATTCTTCTGAATTAAGAACGTCTGGAGGTCTCACTTGCCGAGCAGCGAGGTCGAGCAGCATGTTCCACTTCTTAAAACTGGGATTCTTCCTACCACCTAAGTGGAAATACCTCCTTGAACGACAAAGGGTTGGGAATACAAACCTGATTCATAGGGGTAACATTCACTGATTTGCTCTTCTTGAGTTATCGGCTCCTCATCATCTGGAAGGTAACGTTTATCAATGGCCTCTTTAATCTGGTTATTGGCTCCTTTGGGATCTAAGTCCATCGCCCATGAGAAATTCATTAGGGCCAAATGCGTCTGACCCAGTTTTTTATAAACCTAAAATAAAAGCATAAAAGGCTACATTTACATGAAGTGGCTACTTGAAGGGTCAGACAACAAACACACCGAGCCAGTGAACTGACAGACTCTGTGAGAAGCAACAGAGGGTAGATGTGAAAGCCTTATTACAAGAGTCTCAAGGGAAACAGCAAATATGTGTAGAAAGAATGAGCCAATGTTTCTATTTAAGGCTCAAAACCATTACACTAAACTATCAGCTGACAGATTCAAAACCATAAGGAGGTGGATCTTCAGATACAAATGGAAGCTTTGGAACTTTGCAGCGGGGTGGTGCAAAAGCTATCAGTGTCCAGGTTTTGTTGGGTCTTACCCCTCACCACTCTTTCAATTTCTTGAGTCACTGTAACCCCAAATTTACTTGTGCTCAGGAAAAGTCCAAAGTCTGAGATTTCTAATGTCAGAGGCCCAGAGAATAGTCTGGGGAAGTATCTCCATGTGCACACATTAATCTTATACTCTTCCCTACAGCTCTCACTGAGGACTAGCAAAGGCAGGACACACTGTTGGACAAATTTGGATCTGCCTCAGCACGGCCGTTCTTACACCCTCAAGTGACATTTTAACTGTCATTGGCAGATGGAGAAACTAACAGGGCATGAAGTGACGCCCAGCTTGGCCTGCTGAAATGACAGGCAACGATTTCACGACAACACTGCGCTGCAGAATCCAGCCCACATTGTACCTGCTTCGTCACCGCAGCTTCCACTGAAGCTCTCCTTACTGCTGAGGACAGAGGAGCAAGTAATTTATCTGTGTGAAGCATTTAAACAGTGAAGGTACTTAAGTTTGTCAAGAAATTGCAACTAAAGTCAATCTAGAGGCCCAGCTACTCCTGGACAAATACCAGTCAAGAAATTTCAGCACAAATATTTTTACCTCTCTCCAGTTTAAAAAAAAAAAAATAAAGAAACGTGGCTGATGATGAGTTATCCAGTGCTGTGCTAGAGGTGAGCTGCTCTGTTGCCTCCTCATGAGCAGACACCCCACAGAAGAAGAAAGCTGCAGAACTTCCTTAAAGCACATTAGCAGGGATGGTGAGGAAGGAGGATTTCTACCAGATTACTTTTCTCTGGCATTAAACGCAAAGAAGGCTGGAATGCAAACACAGCTGACAAACTAGTCATATCTTTTCCTGTCCTACTCTACTAGCCTCATTTCAAACCAACAGCCTTCTACAAGTCTCTTGGGGAAGTTGTCAGCTGAAAAGGACATTGAGGCTATTGATGGAGACTTCAGAGTATTCTACAATTACTCTCTGTTCAGCATTTTTGATACAATACATTAGAATGGGATTCAAGATTTTAATAGCTACATGATCTGGTCTATCCCTCAAATTTTTAGGATTTCCACTGATCACATCATTGCCATCGTATTGAATCAAGCCTTGAGAGAGTTCCATTCCAAGGGAAAGATATATGCCTGTAGGCACAACCGCTGTATCTCTTTTCAGTGAAGTATCTTTATCAGGATCAATTTCTTGGGTTTTTTAAATTAATTATCTTTCAAGTTGACAGTGGTGAAATCAAAGCAGGCAAAGAATAACACTGGCTTGGGTTATTTTTTCCTTGGTTTGTTTCAAAGACAGCTGAAGGCTGCTCCAGTAATAACTGTCTTTTGCATTTAAAAGCCAACACATAATAAACCCGGGAGCAGTAAACCTTATTTAAAGCTCTGGGAATTTTCAGAATACTGCTCCAAATGGAAGCAGCTTAGTGACAGGCATCACATTTTCTCATTAGGCGTAGAGAACAACAGAAACCAAAGAACTTATGATCACAGCTAAGTTTTACTTACCTTTCCTATTAAAAAGTAAACAAGAGACTCTTTGGGAACAATCTGTTTCAGTTCTTCAAGTTCTTGTAAAGCAGACTGCAAAGGAAGAAAAAAGAAAAAAAAGAGCTTAGTGAGTACAAGCCAGCAACAGTTCTGACATCACTGAACTGTGATGTAGCGCTCATGGACAAAAAAAACAACCTCCTGGCTTTTACATGCAGTATATTCCATCAAGAACAATAGTACAATCTCCGAGGAGCATCTAAAATTCCTTTCACAGCAGCTTCTCATTTAAAGGCTGCAGCATATTCTAGCCCCACCATCACAGAAGTAGAGCAAGTTTATTGGGCTCTGGTCTCCTACAACATCCAACAACTCCGCGATAAAATGCCCCCGTCACAGCCAGCCAGGCGCAGAAGACAAGCCGCTGACAGCGGGCACTGCCTGGAGTACTCTGAGCTTCTGAAAAAGTGAGAATATCGATGTATTTTGGGCTGGAGGTACTGCTCTCCAGCTTACGCTTTTGAAAGGCTCTGGTTTTAGATATGTAACTGCGTCGTTTTACAAATGACTGTGTTTACACATGACATTTCAAGTCCAAAGTATTTAGCGAAACTTCTGCTTTACTTTTAAACTAATTATTGACACTAGAACAATTTATCCTGCTGTGACAGTAACCTGGCATTATTAAGAAATCCTACCTAAAAAAATTTTAGTCTGCAGTTAGAAACAAAACTGGTTTTAGTTATAAAAATTTCCATTCAACCCTCCAAAACTTATTCATGCGAAGACAATTTCAAGTTGGGGCTTGCCACACAAACGGGAGTGTAAATCTACATTTATTTACCGAACACTAGCCAAATTTATCACACTACCAAAATTCTCTTGGTGCTAAAAACCAAAACATTTCATTATGTTTTATGTAGTTTATGTGAACAGCGTAACTTTAGTCTCACAAGTCTCAGCTTGATAAAGAATAGAGTCTGAATGTTTTATTTCCTAATAAAACATCACTCCACCGTGATCAACAAATTCCTTCAGTAGCGCAGGGGCAATAGGACAGTGGACTATTAGATTTATTTTTTTTCCCCTCTTGTATTTATCCTCTGCTTTTAAATTTTAAAAAACAATCTACGAATCAGCACTTCATTAAGTCCTTAATCTTAATATATTTTATATTTAATTGGTTCATTATGAATCTTCAAAAAAAAAGTTCCAGGTAAAGCTTTCCCAGAAACGTGTGTGCACATGTAAAGGAGCAAGGTTTCAAAAGCCAGATTGCAGCTTGTCTTCTGCGGCCAAAAAAAAACAACCCAAAACAAACACCAGGCCAGAGGACAACAGTCACTGGAAAGCCAGACTGTGGGAAGGTCTTTGCTCATTCGAAACAGGGTACAGGTCAGCAGGGGATCAGACCAAAACTGCTTAGCTGCTTATTTTTCACTCTGTAGCACAGCCTTTGAAATAGCTGGTTCTTACGGCGGCAGTCGGTTAGGGAGCAGTTTGCTGGGCCTTTTTTTAGTAATTTAGCATAAACTCAGGACGATACAGCCACGTGTCAGTGACAGCTGCAATAATTTCCTCTTCTTTCCTTTCTTTTTCCAGGGTCGGACTAAAATACTGATTATTAAAAACGCATCGCCAGTTGGCCCCAGATTTTATAACAATACAAAAAATTCAACATCGTTCCCTTCGCGAAGGTGGGTGGCCCCTGTCGAAGCGAGTGTTTCACGTTAGCCTCTACGAGATGGGCCGATGCCTCAGGCTCTTCCTGCAAGCCCTGATGCTACCCAGTGCTGGCCTGTAAACACTGAGGTTCCAGGGCACCCCTGTTCCCAGCTGCAGCAGTTTAAAGATCACTGAGGGCGTCTGCATGTACCCAATCCTACCTTGTACTTTTCATTCGCAAATAATACAGAAGCTCTATGGAATTTGCATAGCGGGTTCTTGGGGTCAATGTTAATAGCTTTGTTTAAAGTATCCAACGCCTTTTCAGATTTTTTCAGTGCATGCTGGACCTATTGTAGAAAGAGAACAATTTGAAAAGCAAAAAATCACAGCTCATCTGCCAGACAAAATCCATTTGACTACATTTACTCACAATCAGTTTCTTTAAAAAAGTTATTTGTCCAGTTCTAGACCAAGTCTTAGCAAGCTTTCCTAACTTCACCTTGGCCCATCTCCACCTCGAAACATTCTCTCCACCCAACGGCTTACAGAAATCATTTAACCTTTGGCCAGGAGTGAACTCAACGCCTTTCTCTGTATCTAAGTGAGAAGCAGCCACTATCCCTGTAGAATTTGACACTGTTTTTGCTGCCACACAGAAGGCAAACGAACGCCAGCATCCATCACACTTCCACAGCCTTCAGTCACCACCACAGATATCAGAGAACTGTGTCCCGACTTTGTAAGCAAAACTGGTGCCTCGGCATTTTACAGAACTGGAAGTGCTGGTCCAAGTGCCTGCCACAGCAGCTAAAACCCAGTTGATTTCTTATGCATTAAGTATAAAAATCCCCTAGAAATACTCCTTCCACATTAGTATCTGCACACAGTCTTGATCTTCGTATCACTCCTATTTTGGCCAACTCAAACATGACCCAACAGCGTAACTTCACTACAGGCCACAAGTAGTTTGGAGAGAGAGGGTTTCTTTTCTGACACATGAATCCCGTGGTTATTCATTCATATGACACTTATGCTCCAGCAGGCACTCTGAACTTGTTGGGCTTTTTTGCTAAACACGTTCAGAATGGCTTTTCTACTGCAAACAAAGTACAGCAGCAGATTAAAACACAAGGACAGAGTTAAGTGCAATCTACTTACTACTCCGATGTGACACAGTAAGACTGAGCTCTGAGGATTGATATCAAGTGCTTTTTGGAAATGCATTTCTGCTAGACTGAATTTTTCCTGTTTGTAGTAAATCATTCCCAACCCATACCTGCAAGCAGAAAAACAAATCTGTTAAGTAAGCCTGTATTCTAACCAAACTAGGCTTTGTCAGTGAGCATCACCTGGCAGAAATGGTCTATAGACTTGCCAACCCCATCCAGGGTGGGAAATGATTTCTTGTGGGGAAAAAGCTATGTCTAGAATTATCTTGTTTTTTTTTTTTCTCAATTAGTTTGAAGAATTAATATCCAATACACAGGAAGACTGCCTACACAGCTACAAAGTTAAAAGCACACAGAAGTTTCTCAAGACTCGGTGAGTCACACTAGCAGATCTAACTTTTACTGCTTTATAGGTATTTTCTTTTCCCCACAGGAAAAGCTGTAAGAAACTTGACTGTATCCTAAGGTATAAAGGGGCAGATCTCTCATCTCTCCAACTGCAATTGAAGAACAATGAACTAGGTGCACGACAAGTGCTGGACAGAACAAAACAGCTGGGGTAATACAGCCAGGAAGATCAATGGAAACCAAAAAAGGGCCAATTTTTTGCTCTCCTTGTGGAAGTAACTGTTTAATAAACAGATGAGGCCCACATCTGCTGCAGAAACAGCTTTGCTCTCTTCTGAGAGAGAAGAGTGGTAGGGAAACGACAGCAGTGGCAGCATCCAGGAGATATTCTCCAACAGGAGTTCTGCATCACGTGCAACAGGAGGGGATGAAGCAAAACTTACCATGCATTATAGTGTCTAGGGTTGACTCTGATTGCATTTCTAAAACAAGCTAATGCTTTGTCTAGTTCTTCTGTTAACACAAATTCGTGCCCCAACAGGGTGTAGGCATAAGCATAGTTTGGATCAACTTGAATGGCTCTCTGGAAGAACTTGATGGCAATGTCATGCTCTCGTTGCAAGCTGAAACAGTTTCCTGCAGCACACCACGCCTAGCAAAAACAGCAGGGCAAGATTAGCACGCTTTTTTGCAACTCACAGTAACTATGTTTGAGCTGAACAGATTTTTTCCATACTGATTTACATAATTACATATAATTTCCTCCTAGATTAAAAAATAACAACAATAAACCAACAGTTAGTTAAGTCTCATTCCTGAGAGGCAGATAGGCCTAAATACACCTTATAGCTAGACAAGCTGAAGCACAGAAATCGAGAGCCTAAGGACACCCAACAAGTTTGTGCCAATTAGATACTTCGATGACTAATGACTAAAGCTTTTGAGGCTGCTGAAAAGGCTAGAAATAAAACATCTTAGATACTTAAGAATAATGAACATTCACTTTCACTCTTCAGCTCCCTCCAACTGACAAGTCTGGAAATCTACAGAGCAACAATTTTAGCAGCAACCTTCCGCTTTCCCTCCTGCTCAGCAACCAGCATCACGACTGTAAAGCATCACAGCCCAGGCTCCCTTGCTCTCCCAAACTGTTAGCACCACTGTCAAATTGCATAACTGTTCTCTGCTCCTTGTTATTAGAATCTACATTTTCTTCTCTCCAGACTATCTTACTACAACTACCAACTGCTTCGCTGGTTTTGATTTTTCCACTATTAGGCAAGATAACAAGACAACATAAACAGGATTCTCTCCAACAACAACAACAAAAAAATCCCAATATAATCTACAGTTTTCTCAACTCCATTAAGAACACATTTAGAAAGACATACATTTATTACTTTCACTGTGGCATCCATCAAGAGATGCCTGGCTTTTTGCTTATCACGACTTTAAGCTACCATACACTCCGCAGTTTAATGGACTTTGGCATAAAAGTGTGCAAATTATGTCTGAAAACAATTTCTAGAGCAAATATATTTTAAGTGCCAGTGAATTAACTACAGTAATTAAAAGGTGGTACAGGAAAAAAGACACTCCTTATCTTGGCAGCCGTAGGAGTGACTGACTGACTAACCCCTGATCTTCCTGGATGAATGGTGCCAATGCAAATTGAAATAACCAGATAAAAGGTTTCAACCTGTTCCATGTAAGCTGATATTCCAATTCTAAGAAGCCATTTCAGGCATCAGCAGTTCAACAGGCAATCCTGCCCCCTTCCTCTGCCTTTTTGCCATGCAGTTCTCTCAGGAGAATACACTTCGACTAGACTATAGCTCAGAGCTTTGTTCTGAATCATTGATTTTGCCACATACAGTTACCCTCTTCTCATTCAAGACCGCAGCATTTTATACCTCTGGTGAGTTTTTATCCATGTCCGTCAAATCCTTGGAGAGAACTGAAAGAGCAACATCTTTCTGCAGATGCCACAGCGTAGTTGAATAGATCTCCATGCCTTCTACTCTGTAGTTTTCGATCCTCCTTACTTCTGAAAATATTCTCTCAGCCTAAGAACAGAAATTAAACTTTAAACAAAATCCCACCCACCAAAGCAGAGCACATGGGTCAAGGTTAGAAGCCTCACCTGTCCACACCGAGCACCCTCAGGGCTTTGCCCGGGTAGTACGCAGAGCTACAAGCCCCATAATTTCCCCTTCAAGCGAAGGAAGGGACTATACCCCAGTACAGGCAAAAAGGTTACCCACAAAATCAGAAAAAAGCGTACTTTTCTGGGCCAGTTACCATTATTAGCTATTCTAACAGGTGACAGGTATTATGCTCATACCAGACACCGTGCATCATAATTACAAGGCAAAAGGAAACATGACAATGTCCGCAGTACCCAGGGCAGACCCAGGGCTGGGGGTGTGGGTAAGCACGTGACACCACATATCTGTGCTTTACTGTCGCTCGAGACAGCTATGCTGCTTCTCAACAGGTCACTAATGAAGTCCCTGACGTACATATTTATTTCAGAAACTTCAGTTCCAGCTCAGACCATCAAAGCAGCGTCACGAGAAGCCCAGCGTTAGGAAGCCCGTGGGGTCTGCAGCCTCAGTTTTCAAAACAAACTATCGGGCAGCACAATGTGCTCCAGCTCTAATCAGACTGTGGGTACAGTGTAAAAACAGCTTCTGAAACCTCCTGCACTTGTCTCCTGCACACAATCTGTCAAAAAGTGTTTTAAAAAACTCCTGAGGAAATGGGCACATCAGCTGTCAGGACAGCAGTGACAAGGAGCGGTAAACTGCTGGATTACCCTTAACCACTCGACTTGTTTCTGAAGGAGTGTGACATCACCTCAGCTGCGCCAACGCTGTCATTTCTGAGGCTGCAAAGGAAACTAGATCATCGATGCGATCTGTGTCAACCACAAAGGGCAACAGAAGTTTTTGCTTTTAGCACTCAAATTGTTTCAGTGATCTCATTTTTAGAACTCACTGTTTCAGTGATCTAATTTACAACACTGCAGTACAGACAATTGCATCAGCGCAGCTGAGGGTGAGGACAGGGAGAGGCAAGGAGGAGACCCCAATGGTTGGACGCAAGAGGAAATAACAGTACAAGAAATCTGAAGTGGCACTCAGCTTCCTCAGGAAAGCTCAACGACTACTGATGCAGATTCAAGATCTAAATCCACTCCAGGTACAACTTTTACGTTTACACAGTTATCTCAACTGTAAACTTCCCTGAGCTTTTGCAGGAAGTCTGCAGGTTTTCTGCGAAGCTACGCAAAATAAAAGTGGAAAGAGTAAGACCCATCCCACACCGTTCCTACCTGCATATACTCTGCAAGTTCGAAGTAAGCTCTCCCAATTTGGCACAGCACCCAGCCAGTGTTGTAGTGGTGGGATGGCAAATGGCTTAAAATACTTATCGCTTCTTTGCAGTTGTACGAACACAAGGCTAAGTAACCTTTCCCCATGTCACGAAGAAGGCTCATCAAACCTTCTAGGAGAAAAATACAATAAATAAAAGTGGCAAAAAAAAAAAAGACAGCCATGACTTATTTACTTGAAACTGCTAATCCCAAAAGCCCTTCATCGTGGCAGGCACTGCTCCTGAATTTGCTTATGATCTTCTGGGAGTTCCCAAACACAGGCTTACGGACTCTCAGGCACAATACTCTAAACATCAACCTTTGTACTGGAAGTCAGACAGTAACGACCTCCTAAGCCAGCAACGGAACGCTCAGGAACAGAGAAACTCCAAAGTTAGGGCAACTGGAGTTCTGTGTTTACAGCAGCTATTCAGACATTGTGTTAGCTCTGAGCAGAGTTTCCACATGTCTGGTATCCACGGATACACCTTCTTGCTGCCTGGAAACATTATTGAGCCAAAAGAGAGGAATTCAGCAGTCTGTCTAGGATTTTCTGACAATCTGAATAAAGACTCGGTTTTAAACAAATGGGAAATAGGAAGGGAGAACAGGCACATAAGCATAAAAAAGTTTTGAGGAAGGATGACTGGGTTACTCATAGCTCCTTTGAATCAGTTTCCAAGGGCCTTGCCTGAAAATATTTTAATCATTCGTGAGGACCAGAGCCCGCAAGATATATCTGCTTACAACCAGCCACTTGTTACTACTTCTTCACGTGTTCTTTTAAGTTAACTAAAAGATACTGAATTCAGTATCTTTCTAATTACACAAAGGTGATAGCTGCAGGCTAACTGAAACAAGAAACAAACACACACTGGAGCAAAAACGTTTTTTTCATTCAACCTTAAAATACAGATTTACGAAGTTTTACTCTACTACAGTCCAGTAGCGTTCAAACAGACCTGCTGCTGCCTTCTGTAGCGTAAAAGCCTGGATCTGTGGTGCAACAGTGGAAATTTTCCCTTCTGAAATGATGGAAGAGTCCAGTTTGGTAATTTCCAAACTGTCATTTAAGTTTGGTTGAGTTATTCCTCCCTTATTTGTTTTACTTTTTGTTTTTCTGTTTGGAATCTTAGGTGGAAACTTCATTTTTAGTTTTTTGCTATTTTCCTGCAAGCAAGAAGAGTAAGAGTTACATTACAGAAGTCTTTAGATCGAGGTAACTAAACATGGAAGCGAACTGTGTCAGATTCTACCTATGCCTCTTTGCAGCCGATGCCCAGCCGTTTGACTATTCATTTAAGTACACAGACACTCAGTAACTTCACTGAAAATGTTTAGCAGTTCACTTTTAAACAGCAAACGTTCACATTGCCTACCTACAGTCCGTGAGTACTCCCACAAATGTCCCACAAGTCCGTAAAACACAGGAAGTTTGTTACCTTTGTTGTAGAGCTATCACTAGTAAAGAGGCGAGAGCTTCTTCGAGGCAGTGCATTTGGTGGAGCAGCAATTGTTGGGCTCAATACCTGAGGTGTAGTACTGAAAACAAACAGCACATTAAAAAAATGGAGCAAAGAGCTTCAGTTTAACAAAAAACATCTTTTATATTGGCTTTAAACAAAAATGCTCAAGTACTGTAGCACAGATATTCCCATTCCAAGAGATGAAAAAACATAAATCTACCTGTTGCATGTCAAGAACACGAGCAGAATTTCCTTCCAGCTACTTTTTCATTTACTGATGAAATGGTATAATTGCACAGGAGATTTAAAACAGACAAACCACCACACACGAGCTTCCTACTTAGCCCCTGAAGTTATTCTACCTAACAAAAAATACACTTGTTCCTCATCTGAAGAGGAATTCTGCAGGAACACCCACACAGGTTGGGCAAATAAAGTGTCAAATTCCTTCAAGAAAGGAGATGGAAAAAGGTAATACCAAGATGATTTTTTTTGTTTTTTCCCCCTACCTTGTCTGTGGGCCAGAGCTCTGTGTTTGTGCAACAAGAATTGGAGTGACTTCCCGGCTATTTCCGCTCTGTGAGAAGACAGATTTTGTTCCAGCTTGGCTTATCCTGCTGACAGTCTGCATAACACAAAGTTTCTACAGGTTTGTTATTATGTCACTAAGATGTCTCAATCTCTGCTATATCAAACCAAATCCATTCTGCCTATCAAACACTCCACAAAGGAGGATAAATATAGGATAAATACAGATTCTTCCAATAAAGGGTGAGGGTCGTCCTCCAAGGAGCACCCATCAAAAGCATTTTTTTCTACCTGTTAAAACACCAGTAACGCCAAGTCTAACAACTTCATGCACATTATTTGAGAGATATAGAATCTCCATCTAGTGGCAAGAAACTGTATCTTAAGATGTTTGTGCAAGAATAAAAGATGTTATATTTAAAGTTCCTTCACCACAGAAAGCTGTACAAAAAACCCCAACCACAGAAAGAAAGGATTTTTCAGTTCCCATATGACAACCACATCCAGAAGCCAGGCACTATTAACACCTCACTGCGGTGCTCACTGTACACCCGAGCCTGCCACTGCCCTGTTCAGCAAACCTGTTCATAGCATAAATCACTACTGAATCGTTCCTGCACGAGCCTTTGGAGCAGACAGAGCAATAAACTGCTTCACCAAAAAGGGACCTGCATTATGCAGCATAGAAAGTAAATCCACAGTCAAGTTAACACCAGGCAGCAAGTTACTGCACGGCAGCTGAGCAACGCTTTGTGTGTGCACCCACATTTCTGTTCTGGTACCTTTTATTTGCCACAGGTTACAAGCATGTAATATGACTCAGCACCAAAACATTGTCTTATATTTTCACACATCTTCAGAGCGCCAAAATGTGCGCTTTGACACCTACCCTGGCACAGCTGAGGTGTGGGAACTTAGAGCTGTGATAACCTGACTGCGAATCTGAGACCTAAGGAATGAGTACAGATAGAAATCAGCTGTCTGATGTGCAGACCTCCTACAAAGGATTTGGAACAGGTCCTCCCCTCCCTGCCTTTCAAAGAAAGCTTAAGCCCTATCTTTCTGCCCACTCCAGGGACACTGACGTCCAACTCTGTGATGGCTGTTCGGAAGAGAGGTTCTTTAAGACACTAGAAAACAGCAAGTGGGATCAATGACAGCACAAGCAACACCAGTTTATGTCTATCTGACTTGTGTCCTGTCCTTCCCTTCTCCGTTTCTTTGTTATCAGGGGACAGTTGAGGCGGCCAGCACCCTCGCTTGCCCACTCACATAGGAAGCCTTTGGATTCATCCTAATGTTTCATTCATTTACGTAACTGTTTCCTAGGAAACTGCCTCCGTTAAGTCATGCACATTCGAGCCCCAGCTACACTAAACCTTTTCTAACTGGGTAATTTGAAGAGCAGAAGCGAAACTGGCCAAGTAATTATTTGCATTGGACAACACATGCATCAGAATCCTAAACTGTTTATTAAAATATATTAAATATTTGTGTTTAGGCAGCAGGGATTAGTGAAGTTCACAGCTGGGTGCTGCTGTGCCATACTAGCAAAGCAACAAAACGCAGCAAATAAGACTTGATTCCCCAAAGCCTTTCACCTATCGTGTAGCACACACGTGAGACTAAGGGCAGGTGAGTACCACGCTGAAGAGCTGCACTTTGCTACTTCCATTCCTCACCCATGAAAGTTTACCTTCCTACCTAGGCACAACTGATCACAAACCACTGTGTTCAACTGCACTGTGGAAAACTGGTTGGTCCTGAGCAACTACAGGATGGGAATTGGATCAGCCAGACAAAGCACATCTCTAGCAGACTGTTTTAGCACAGTCCAGCCCCAACAAAACACAAGACTAAAAAAAACTGACAGAAAGTGTTGCAGTAATGAGATGTCTAGAGAAAGGCTCCCACAGTGGCTCACACAAGGAGATTCCAGAGTTCCCAGTCACAGGCTTCAGAAGACCATCCAAAGGGGAAAAAAAAAAACCAGTTATCTGCTTACTGGCTTTTATTCTTTTAAGTATTGGGCCAATGAGAGAAGACAAACACAGTTTTTAACAGCTCCCAGGTTTCACTTACAGAACGGCACAGCAAGCTGAGCACCAACTGATTTGTCCAGAGCATCAAGTTGGAAATTCAAGTTCTACTTTTTGAGGAATTCAACACTATTACTTGCACTGAGTTTTTATTTTAAAGAGTTGGCCACCTACAAAACACTAGCGTCCCTCATGCAACTTTCGGATTTACTAAAAATACAGGGAAAAACCCTCAGATTTTTTGTTTTTAGAAAGGAACAAATGGTTCTTCAACTGTCACCAACATTCCACCTCTCATTTATCACTATGGCAACAATGGCAGTTTCTTACAGAGTAAAAAAGACAATTTTTAGTTTCCTCTGCACAAGACTTCGCCAAGTGAAACAGCACCATTCTACCAGTCAGCCCTCCACCGACCGCCAGCAGTATTTTGATTGCTCTGTAAGCTAGAATTCAAGAACTGCTTGCAAGAAAGCAGTAGCTTCAGCTCACTTGAGGCTTCTAGGGTTATGTGAAACCCTGAAAATACATTAATTTAAAAAAAAAGAAAAACAACAAAGTGAAAACTGCAAGTTTGGGCTGTCTTCAGACTCCACCTTGCACACCGAAAAGTTACGAATCCTTTGTGGCTTGGAAGCACCAGCCTTTGTACATTCCTCTGACAGCAGATGGACAGAAGATACAGCACCTTCCTCAGGGTGCCTCTAGCAACATCAGCTGGGCAGTCTGCACAGGCCTGTGCATTTTGGGTGGGGAAAAAAGGGCTTGTTTTAATTAGCACTAAAAAGACTACTGCTTATCACTACAAAAGTTGAGAAAACAGAAGTCTGTTTTGTAGCCAAAGGAAGGGACACAATAAGCTGAAAACTCTTTATAACGCAGCCATCTTTACTTGTGGAATCGTGGTTTTTTTCCTTGCTGCCACATTTGCTTAGCTGAAAAGATTTTCAAAATAAAAAACACTATTGAGGCTTTAGAAATACTTGTTTCAATCTAACAGACTATTCTACAATGAATTTAACTTTAACCAACACTTCAGAAAAGTAAAAAAATTTTGTCAGGGAAATACCTGACCAGCTGCAGTCAACTTAAAAATAAACTGTTCCCTGCACCCCCAACCTCACCACCCTGTAAATATACATAAGCTGGTGAACAACATTTTATTTTGCTGCATTAAACAACAGTTAGTAAGAGCCAGCCCTTCTTTGTTTTTGTGGTTGCCCCCCAACTCTCTAGACAAATTATACACAAATTTAATTCTCACTTAATTGGTTGTGGAAATGGTTTGGGTTAAAGGAGACTGCAACCAGTTCCACAGAGAAATTGTTTTTCAAACCACATTTTGTAAAACAGGGGGTAAACTGGGTTCTCCCACCGTCAGCACAGTTCAGCTCACATGCAATGTTTTTTCATCTGCATTATGGATTCTTCTTTACGTCACTGCAATGTCACTCAAACAGCAATCATATCCCAGAACACAAGATACCTTCTTTGAAGGTGCTCCTGTGGATGGCACATCAATTACAGAAGAAGAGTTTGTGTAGTTTTGTAAATACGATCCATCTCCAGGGCTTGGGGTTTCTAGTGGCAAAATTCCAAAGCTGAGAACAAAACAAAGGGGAAGGGTCAGCGTTTGAATGTCAGACCATGAGAGCTGGCCTGATTCTGTTGTTAAAACAGAGGTCAACTTTATTTCAGAACTACTTCATTGATTTATGTTAACCCTCCAGTATTTTACTATCCCCATCTAGAAAAGACCCTTACAGAAAATATTCTTATTCCTGAAACCAAACGATACAGAACTTTCTTTGCCTGCCTGTGTAAAAACTAAGACACAGACCATCCAAGTATCAATGGCTTGTAACATAGTGCCGTTTAAATAAGCATATAGGAGAGACCATATATTTACAGGGTCTTTAGGAGAGAGCTATTCTTCAAGACATGTGCTTAAGAGTTTACTTCAGAGAGAAACGTACTCCTTTAAAGACTTTTCCAGCGTGAACATCACAATAAGCAACACACTGAATCAAGAGGTTCTCTCTTCTAATCAGAAATACCAACTGCTTGTTTAAAAAACAGAAGGGATGAACAGAAGAACCGAGAGCAGTTACTGAAGTTGTTCAGCTTTTGCTTCTGCAGCATTATTTATAACACACTATCAACACGTGTGTTCGAGTAGGCTGTGCGGCACCAGACAGCTCTCCTGGTTCAAATCCCAAACGTTCTCAACAGCCAACTTCTGTCTACAGCTCTGCTATCTCAAGGACTTACCTTGGAGTTAGTGGGCTCAAAGATGTAGGTCCCCCCAGTAAGCTCCGCCCAGTTTTTGGTTTATTTTGAGCCTGTTTAGACAATATGGAAGTTCCTGACCCAAGAGGGACAGAATCTGGTGAAATTACAGCCGAGTCAATGTAAGACATAGAAGAATCCGTGTTCAAGGAGGAATATTTTGAATTGGAGGATTCTAGGTTGATTCTATTCAACTCCTGAAAAATGGAAGGCAGCTGTTAAGATACCCACGCAGCGTAGTTTCTAATTAGCATTTTTCAGTTAAGCTGGAAAGACTGCTTTAAATACAATTATTTTAGCAAAACTCACAATTGTGTCTTGCGGCGTTTCCATCAGGACAGTCTCAGGCTGTCTGTGGGATATGTTGTGATTAGATACCAATGTTGTGCAAGTGTTAGGCAGACAGCTGCTGAAGTTCTGTAAAGATGTTAATTTAAATGTTTGGTCGGGGTCTGGTTTTTCACCTGTGAGATTGGAAGGAGATTTAAACAGAGTTATTCCTGAGTCTATATTCAGTCTGAAACAACGAGGACAGGGCACAAAGCATTTTAGAAGGGGTGCGTTCTTATTTCACTGTTCTAATACCTCTCGCGCTAAATCGGAAGTGCTTTTCCACTACAAAACTCTGGACAATCAGTTTTATGAAAAAAATAGACTTGCTTTAAGTTATTCTCAGAAGCATAGTTTCTAAGCATCTACTAACTATAGGTTGAAAAACATATGGTACTGTTAAATCAAAAAATGGGTAACTAGTGAAAACGGAAGAAAACGGGACAAAAGCTCTCAAGACTGGCAAAGCATTTTAAAATGCATTATTGCTCACGAAACCACTCCTAAAGAATCCTGCTGGCATTTTCCTTGCTAGTTCTAAACAAGGAGTAAAATAACCCTTGCCACAAGGGCGATGGCAAATCAGAAAGCGTGACATAACCAGAAACGTAGAAAACATCTTCACTAGTAAAACAGTTCTGCAGACTTACCTATTTCACATAGTGATTCAAAAGGGGACCAGAGGAAAGGATTTAAACTAAGGCTCTTTTGGTAACATTCTGATCCTTTGGCAAGCCGGTCTGTCTTGCTGCAAAAAGTAACAGTTTATAGGGAAACTTGAGAATTGCACTTTTGTTCAAGATAGCTTTCCAGAAAAGGAGTTGAAAAACAAAAACATGTTGAGAGTCACAGCAACATTCCTCCTTTTTTCAAGCCACAGAGTAATACTGAGATCTTTTGAAGTTTTTGACATATTTAGACTCAGATGAAAGTTACTTAGACACAGTCCGCCAAAAAAAAAAAGTTACATAAGCACTAGTATGAGAATTTTTGTTTTAGAAAGATTTTTTTGGTTTTTTCCAAACAGCAACCTGATTGCCAGCCTACCAGCCATTTTAAATGTTTATGGATAATACTTTTGAATCTAAATTAGGGGCTAAACCGAACATCTAAGCATCTGGCTACAAACATAGCTTCTTCTGAAAGCTTCGTATGCTCTGAAATAAACTCTTCTTTTTGAGAACAGGTATACTAGGGAAGAATCCAAGAACCCCACTATTCCTCTTCAATCTGTTTACATTTACTGAAACCTTTCTCGTATCTGGGCAAACGCAAACCACAAATTTGTAAAGTTATTCTGACTGGCAGTTCCCAAAACTCTCATTTGAGGGTTATAGCCCTACATCTGCCAAACAGATACAGAAAAATCAAAATGGCAACAGTGAGAAACAGGCCTTGAGAGTTTCCCTGAAGGAAGAATACAGAACAAACCCAAAAGGTATAAAAGACAGACTCTTGGATTGCATGCTTAACAGCCTGGAAAAAGGAATATCTGCTTTCAGTCAGAAGCTCTGGGTGAAAGACAAACCATTCTTGCATTCCCAAGTTAGAGGGCTTCCCCAACTATCTACCTGCACCTATCCTACTCTGGAACTGTGCAGGCCATATAGCCCAGAGACGGGTGTACCGTGGGGTGACTAAAGATATATTTAACTAAAATTGGTCTTGGTCAAATAACCCACCCCCCCGCCCAAGCTTTATTAGACAAGATAAAAAAGCAACATTACCAGTAGACATGTCCCAGTAAGGAGAGTGTAAAGCATGCAGAGTCACCAAACTCCATAACAATGTCATCATGGCTTTTCTGTTTATTCAACACTCCACCAGATAAGATCTGCTCTCCTTCTGCAAGCCTTTTTAAAAAACAAGAGGTTTAAAGGGGTTACAAGGCTCACAGTATTGGTAGTCCAGTGTTTTCACCCTGCTGCAAACAAAAACAGAAATCCACTGTCAGTGTTCACAAGTTCCAAACCACAGACAAACTAGTTCCTGCAAATGAATTTAAATAATCGATGGATTCCTCTAGCAACATGGAGGCGGGCAGTACTCTGCAGCCGAACACCTCTACTGGGAGGGAAGAAAATTGAAACAAACCCCAAACCCCACACACTCCAAAACCAGAGACCCATAATGCCACATGACTCTTGCAGAGGTGATTAATCTCAGGTAGAACACTAAACTGAGGACAAGAAGTCTTCTAGACATTACATTTTCACAGGTACTTTACCAAGCTAAGACGACACTTAGTTTGGCTTCGTTTCCCAACTAAGTAACACAATTCCTAAGGCTCCACACACTCAGATAAAATCCAATATTGGGATGTTGATGACAGACTTTGGATTTTAATGCCTTGCTTTCTTGCTCAAAAGGAGAACAAAGGCTCTGTTTGCATCTACTATGCCAGCAGTACCGCTCACATGGAAGGGGCCACCTACTATTAGGCCTGAAAACAACTTTATACACCTTCTGGGGATGGGGGTGTGAGTGGGATTCTTCTGGCATTTGAGATCGACACCTGCACAAATAAATCATCCCTTCTTGCCTCCACTTGAAGTTATACTTGAAGATAGATGCTTCTATCAGCACAGACCATTCCCACAAGAAAATAAGGTGCATCTGTACAAATAAGCTCATAAGTGTAACAGCAATGACAGTTAAACTTAACAAATTCTAAAGAAACGTGTTTAAGAAATCCCACCTATCTAACTAAAATCAGTTCAGGAGCTATCAGTACTATATGGACACACCAGACTTTGTAGAAGCAAGGGAGGGAACAATCAGCTTCAAATTTATTCCACTGGGACCTTTCCAAGTAAAGCACTAACATGACTTCCCTTTCAACTGAAGATGCAAAGAAACCTGTATCCTAACAGCTCTGAAAGTGTTAAAAGATTGTCAAAAGACACACAAGTCAAGACATTCTCGCTCAAGAGATGTCAAAGGACACTCCCACGGAGCTGCCCCTGCTGCCTCTGGAGAGGCCTGCATTTTGGTTACATGTTGTGAGCAGGATCTTGAATCATGAAAATAACCACATCACGCTCTGTGAAACTCCAAGCATCATGGTACCTATCCTAAAGAAATTAAACTCTTCTTTTTGGGCATTGAAAGAGGGCCACTCAAAAACACACAAGCAAAAAAAAGCCACAACACATAACCACAAGCTGTTTTGTAGAGACACATTTAAGCTTCGTGAAGAACCCCCACAGCATTTAAAGTTTTCTGAATGCAAGATTTTGCCTCTCGGTGCCTCATCCTCTCCATTCTGCACCTCAGCCAGACATTGTTTCCTACATTTGAGCAGAAAGGTCTACATAGAAGTGAAATACCCTCAGTAACAAACTCAGGGCATTAGGGCCTGTAGCTTGAGCAATTCCAGGATACACTCTTGCTGTTAGGACTCTAGAAAACCAGCAAGATACCTTGACACCACCACGTCCCTGTCAAGGTTAATTCTCATGTTGAATGTGGATTCAAGGTGGGTTTGTTGCGGGTTTTAAAGCAGAGATTTCTGTCTGTCATCTTCTCCCTCACCCACCCATTAGCAGTAACTGGGCAAGAGGAGGAAGCATACCGTTTGAGGAAGTGGTCTATCCATTAAATTCATCCTGGAAACACTTAATGAAATAAGCAAAGCATGAGAGAAACACAAAGCCAAATCAAACACTTCCCAGAGTGCCCTCCTTGAGTCATCTCAGCAATCAGTGTGGTCTCCCCCTACACAACTCGACAACTCCTTTGCAAGTCATTCAATACCTTTTAGAGGTTTCTGCAATATGGGCTAACGTTCATTAGGTCCGTATCTGAAAGCAAAATGAACTGAACTTATAATAATCTTTTGAGCCAAAGGACCAATGAATTACTAGTTTATGCAATATGACAGCTTTCAAAGAGAAATCCAAACAAACAAACAAAAAGCATTTGTAACCCTGGACAGAACATAAAGTATTTACTCACTTGCTGAGGTCAACACAACATTTTGCAAGCAGGTATTTACATTGCGGGGTAGTACAGCTGTGTCCCTTTAGGAGCCTGTATGCTTTGTAGGCCTTTCCTGAGCGGTAGTAACATGTTGCCAGTAAAAACAGTGCTTCTTCCGAATGTACTAAAAAAGAAAAGAATCATCAGTTGGTTATTTTCCATTTTGATACCAGGAATTCGGGGGCAAGGAGTAAAAGCCAGCTAGGAACAAGATACAGGAAAATGAGTATTGATGTTTGAGAAATTCATGACTGAATGAAGTGCATTTCTTTATCCTTCAGCATATAACACACTCCCATATGGCATTTTCTTGTACAGTCAGACCAACTCTTCACATCTACTGTTGTAAGAGAACTTCAATCCTTCTGGCTACCCAACCTAAGTAAGTGATGAGCCAGCTTGTTGTTAAAATAACAGTTAGTCAAGCAAAGCAGCCTCTCCTAGTAGAGCAGAGCTACTTTAACAACTCAGTGGCCACACCAAGTCTTGCTCCAGGTATTATCACGCCTGTTAATAACACTTTGCACTAGCTTAAGAAGTGCATAAACACTGGCACAAAGGTGGCTGTTAGGAAGTACAGGAACTTTCAGAAGGAATATCTATTTCAGCCTAAGTAGCTTAATTAACAGTTTCAGTCCTAACTTCAAGTGGTCTGTTCCTGTTTGCAGTTTTACTTCTGTTAATTCTTCTAAAGCACTTGATGCTGTATCTTCACATGACTTAGTGAGGCAGATTTTCTGATTTTAATGACTATTAAAGTCGGTCCATTACCGGCCATCTCTACCCCAACATTAAGTCTCGTCCTTTTTGCTGCCTGCACTCATCATTTCATTGGGAACACGGCTTTATTTTATGTTAGGAAGTAGTGATAGTTCTCTTACAAATCCTCTTCCCAAGCTGAGTCCTCACAAGTTCCTAAATTCTGAATGAAGTAGTCAAGCTTCAAGGAAAAAAAACCCAAAACTATCTAAACAGCTAACAGGAGAAATCAAGACAGAAAACATTTCTCTATGGCAGGAACTGGATGTATTTGGATTTGATGTCTGCTTCAACACTTCTTCCATTGCAGAGATGAATTATGTACCACACTGAGAACATTCTATTCAAAGAGCTTGACTTGGCATCCAAGGACTGAGGTCAGACTCGCCAATTTTAGTTGTGATTACAGCATGAAGGACAGAGAGCTAACACGTGAACTAACTTTAAAACCTTACTGTAAAGTTATCAGCTGAAGCTTTGAATGCCAGAGAACACCCTTTTGTGAGACAAGTGAGCATTACCATGCTGCGGTGGTAATTCGAGCATTAAGCTATGATTGTGTGAAGATTCTGTATGACTTCATTTTAACTCTGTTTTCTGGGTTCTAAACAAGAAGAGGGAGATATCCAGACACACTCACAGATTATTGTATGGCCATCGTGTCTTACCCTATTCTTTGTACTTCCCCAAATGTTAGACTCAAGTCACCCTTATTCAATGGCATATTTTAAACCAAAGAAAGGAGGTCTATGAAGGCAAGCAACTTACATCCCTGAACAACTAAGAAACCCACAATACTTCATAGTTTTCAGAACACACTACCATGCAAACGGAATTCAGCACTAAAAGAAACAACTCTGATGTTTGTTCACCCACCTATATGGAACTCTTCCAGAAAAATCAATACGAGCATTGTACAAAAACCTCTTTGGGCAACCTGCTCCAATCGTTGGCTACACTGAAAACCGACTATTTTAAGTCTGTGTCATCACCTAGACAGTGACAATAGAGACTGAGGACCCAAAGAGAGAACATTTTATTAACCTTATCCTAAAAACACCCAAAGATCTTTTTGAAAATTAAAGTTAAATCAATTCTTTTATCCACTAATTTATCACATGTCAAGAGTTCTGGGAAACTACCAAGCCACAGATGTCCCTGCAAGGACAGTAATTGCAGGTGGACTTAAAAGAAGTTCTTTTCAGGGTAAAATCACTACTGCAAATAAGGAGTCACTGTATTCAAGTTCAGCAGCTTTTACTCTGCAGTAGAATCACTTTTTTTAACCAGAAGCCAGATGTTTTGTTAGCAGTTAATTGCTTGAACCAAGTGACAGCATGCATGCTGTTCTCTCTCAGTGCTGTTGGTTACCAAAAAAAAGCTGTTTGAAGTTCTCTTACAGAGTATTATTCTGCAAAGATAGTCAGTATCAAGTCATATATTCTTCTCTTGGCTGCTGCAAAAAGTGGATTCTCTTCCTTTCTACATCCTCAGCAATTACCTTCAGTCTAGCATTTCCCTGTGTCTCGCAGTACGCCGTATTCAGGGGAGATATGTCATCCCTAAAGCACTATTTCCTTTATGCACACCTAGATTATAAGGTTCCATAATATTCTACGCAACATTTGTCATTTAAGCAGCAGATGAAAGACCCCAGATTTCATGGGTAACCTTGACATAAGAGAAAAAAATAAAATAAAATCTTTATTTCTCAAAAGTTAAGTTTGTGCTTCCATTGTTAAGAAATGCATTGTGGGCATGTCAGGCCAAACATTGAAAGCAAAACATTTCATTACAAAACAGAGCATAAAACAGGTTATACAGTTTAACTGACATTATAAGGTCAAGTTGTTTAGCATGAGAAATTGTATTATGCTTATATTTTAGCTTAAGGGTTGGGTTGGTTTTTTTCATGTTGGTGATTAGGGGACAATACCTTTCAAAATAAAGAAGAGCTGAACACCAATCGAGGAGAAAGAAGTAAAGAACAACAAAAAGCTTATCTGAGTTCATGGAGGAAGGGTTAAGGAAGAAGAGCGACTGGAACACAAGAAAAAAAAAAAGTGGTTTTGAAGGACCCAGGAAAAGTACAGGTTTGCGTTACTGCTGCCTGCTCAGTATCCAAGACGTCCTAGATCTGACAGCATTACAATGAAGTAACAATTAACAAGAATTCCACAGAAGACACCTATTCCATATATTCTGATTCTCATTGTCTCAATTTCACTATGCTTTTCTCTCATCATCATGAGATTATCTCTTTCAGCTAACACACCAGTCAACATATCTGAACAGCATTATCAGCAAAGACAGCTTTCAATATCAAGACAATTTGAAGAATTTGCGTACTGCACCTATCCTCAAGCGCCCTGGGCAATGCTTAAGGTTATATAAAAAAACCTCTCACAATATCATGCTGTACACATCACTGTAAACATTATAGTTAAGCACACAACTCAAGTTTAACTTTTTTAAGGAGGTTTTACTGTAAAATAACATTGCTGCTGTTACATGATTTGATTTTCCAACCTAATTGCAAGGCATTCTTCCGCTTTCCCCAAGCAGAAAGTTAAACTTCATTATCACAACAGCAGCTGCAAAACAAAGCAGGACCAGAGGCTCAAAAACCCTAAATAAAAACTGAAAAAAAGCATCAGCTTTATGTTTGCAAAGTACATACCTTCTGCATATAATCTTTCTGCAAGGAATACTGCATCGCGGTAAGCATAGTGGTTAAGTGCTTGCCATATAGCAGCCTGCAAGACAAGAAAACAATCTAAATTTAGAGAGAAGCTTTAATGCAAAACTCATTAGCTCTTACTGTCAAAAGGCAAAGTCCAATTTTGTTTTACTAGAGTCATAAGAAGAACAGAGAAGGATAAATATGCAGCCCAAGTTTTAGTTGTTTCAACTATGAGTAAGGAGACTTAAAAAAAAAACCCCCAAAACATCAGCACTGAAGTCATGACCCAGTCTAAGAATGCTGCTCGCTAGTTACCATATGCAGCCATCTATAAACCTCAGCCAACGTGCTGCGAAATAACAGCGAGTACTTCCACTTGTCACTGAGCTTTAGCCTGGTACATAACTGAGCATGAATTATTGCAAACTACCAAAGAATAACATGTTAAGTAAAAGGTAAGAACAAAAACCAGCCCCCAACTGCTTAGCAAAGCATTCCAGTTCGCTCTTAGCTGTGCCCAAGGAGGGGCAGGGGAGGTAGGGAAAAGCTCCAGTGCCCAACCCCTTTTAATGGCATTATGCATAAATCCATTTAAGCCATCTCCTCCTGAGATGTGCCAAACCAAAACCCAACAGGACCAGAAATCACGTCAGCGTCCGAGGTTGTCGCTGTAAGACTGCTGTGGATTAAGGATGTCGGGTATACGGCACTTTCCTTGAAGGGACATCAGCGTTCCCTTTAGAACCAAGATGGACGCGATCCTCTGCTTTCTGCTGCCGTGTTTTGTTTGAGGCTTTGCTCATCAGCCACCTCTTGAGTGCCACTGATAAGGGTTGTGAGGTCTCGTACAAGAATGAACGCAACGCCAGTGAGACGGACAAATTGATACCTACGGCCCCACACGAGGTCAACCTACTTCTGCATTTTGCTCATGCACCCATACTGGGTCACCACCAGCCACCTGCTCAGCGGCACTATCTTCTGCCGCCATGAGCGCCAAGCTCAAGAGTCTGGGACCGTCGCTATTTGTGCACTCGAAAGATGGCACTACTCCAGCGCAACGCAAATCCAGTGTACACCCAGGTGCACACACCCTGCACACCATCACCGCTGTCACAACCGCACTGCTGCCGCCAGCAGCTGAGCCGCAAGCAAGAGCTGTCCAGCCAGGGAACAGGGCTGGGGTACGCCGGTTTCGCAACAAACACTACTCAGCCGATTTTCTTGAGAGCAGATTAAAAGCCTTCTGTTATCTGTAAAAGAGGGGTGGGATGGGAATAATAATTCCTTTTAAGATCTAGCCAGCCTTTCCTCCCCACCTATTACAAGCGGTGGTGTGCCTGCTTATCAGGGGCTGTGTTCCGAGGTCGGCAGGGTTGGTATCAGGACTGTAGCTCCTTCCCATCTGGCAGTCTTGTTCAAGTTCCAAAGCAGTTTCCCACCAGAAGCAAACAGCCATTTTGCAGGAGTTCTGTTGCTACTGATCCAAACAATTTCTGAACTTATGAACTCGACATGCTGTGGTCTAGTATTTCTCTAATATTCACCAGCAACTGAAGACAAACAGAATCAGCTTCTGATACTATCAGACACTGCAAAACTAAAAGAAATCTTCCAGAGCTAAAGAAATAGCACCCTGTAATGCTATTCCCAGTAGGAAAGGCAAGTGCCAATTTAATCTAAAAAAAAAAATTGCAAACATCACATGGAGTTACACGTACCATATGCTGCTACTTCCAACACAAACTTGACAAACTCAGGGTGTGAAAAATGTGCAAGTTCTCCTCACGGGAAGCCTACACAGTCTTCATGAACAGTACACACCAGAGTTTCCAATTACTATATATTATACAGAGGATCTCTACAGAGATACTATTTTCTTCTATCAGCAGGTCCCAACAACTTACTTAAAAAGTCAACAAGTACTTCTAAGCTTGTGCGAAAGTATTTAAAAATTAATTCTCTTAGTTTGATTATTATAACACAAACACCTTCTTATTTTTCTCTAGCTGTAGTCCACGCTTCAGATAACTTCAGCCACAGAGTCTGCCTGAAATGATTACTCCCTTTTTACCTTGAAAAGTCCCAAGGCTGTACATCGCTCTGTGCGCTGCAGACAGCACGGTACAAAGACAGAAGGAGGGTGCTAAAACCTCTCAGGCTATACCCAAGTCAGAGCAGCCCAAGGTCTCCTTTTTCTCTTGCTCTCAGAAGCAGCTCTTCTTTTACCAAGTCACGAGTGACATTTAGACGATCTATCCAAGCTGTGCCATCTTCAGGTTAAAAATGCCATCTCTACAGGGCTGTAACTCAGCACGCTTACAAAACAAAGGTATGGGGGTGGCGGTGCTGAAATCAATGTCATTTGACTTCTCCAACAGGAGCAAGTTGACACAAACAACCTGGCTAAGAGGGGACACAAGTGATTTTTGGCTATATCACAGCCACACTGTAAAAGTTACACGACCCACTGGCTCAAATAACAATCACTGCTGAGCAGAGCCCTAGTGAAAGCAAGAAGTCAGCTGGCAGTATCCTCGTTACATAGTAATCGTCATTTTGCAACCCAAAAGGTGCAAGTTGGACTCACACCTTCAACAGACGAATGCTGAAAGGCTGGATCCTTGCACACACTCTCCCAAAAGAGCAGGAGGAGGAAAGGAAGGTGGCAGGGAGTCAGCCATACCTATGCAGCAACAATTTCGTATGAGAAAAGATGTCTAAGCTACTGAAAAAGACGACTTCTTGTGCACCTTTTAGGATGTACATTTTGGATAGGAACATCAATCTCGTTATTGAAGAGTAATTAGGTTGTTCCAGCAGAATTTTAACGCATCTACACAGCATTCGCAGCATGTGACAACTGCTAAACCACACCAGAAGAGTGGTCTGAAGCAAAAAAAAAAACTTTGGGGGCATTTATCCTATAAAAACTGTTTCATCCCAAAAGACTTCAGAGCAGGACAAACACAGTACAACCACAAATACAATCCCAATGCAGTCTTAGTTTCCTCCCTATGGTAGTACCAAATTTTACATGGAACCCGTCAACAGAAACCCAAAGAAGCATCCTCAAGAGCCTGCAAAGCAATCGAGGTACTTTGGCTGCAGCGTCTGTCCTCAGAGCTACAAACATAGACATGAGGGAAGCTTGAAGTGTTTCAAAGTTTTATTTAAGCATGCTTGCAGACCAGATAAACCTCCGGGTCCTAGTCACTCATTTTAAATACGCATTAATTTCCAAATGCAAAGTGACAGGGAATTCCAAGACTACCACACCAGCCACAGCTCTGCAGCAAAACATCCTCAGAGAGGAGAGCAAGAAAACAAACACAGATTCATACAGGACCATCTTCGATCCAGAAAATCCCGTGCATTGTCCAAGCGTCACCTCATATCTAAGCCAAAGAGCTCTTAAGAGATAGGTGTTCTCTTCTGACAGTTATATAGCCTCAGAAATTATTTTCAAAGCTTTATAGCCTACTGACACACTAAGCAGTTTCTATCATGATTTCAGACTTCTTCAGGGTGGGCAGAGAGGAAGAGAGTTTTCTGTAACAAGATGTGCTGCATTTACTGGTCATGCAAACTCTGCCCATTAAATAAGCCACCACTGGTATTGCACGTCTTCAGCCGTGGCAGTAGCCTTGGAGTTCAAGCACCATTCAAGTGGGACACAGCAGATGATCACCTTGAACAGCTAAACTCCAGGGAAAGTGTTCATTTTGTTTCCAAGATGTTTTTCAGAAATATCTGGAAGGCATCCAGGCTGTTTCTCAGCACATGGATACAATGCTTTATGTCTGAGCTGAGGAGTTTCAAGCTGATCACATCAGGAAATACACTAGAGGTCTGTGTCTACGTAAACTCTGGCACTTTTGTTCATCTTAAGAGATTAAAAGAAGTTAGTAAAAATCTAACTAGTGAACAGGATGCCTTTTGGGACATTAATTTCATGCAATTAAACCCCAACATTTATAAGGCAATGTACACATAGAGATTCCGTTATTTATCTATCATGCTTTGCATATCACAACTGTAAAGATGACAGTTTCTTCCTGGAACACCAAGCCCTGTAGATATCTGAAAGGCTGGGAGAGAACAGACAAATAGACAGGAAGAATCTCTGCAATGACAAAAATGAGAAGTAGTGTCAACTTTTCCAATCGTATCATTAAAAAGAAAACCAAAACCAGAAAGACAGAGCTAAGTACACGGACTGCAACTGAAATGGGAATTCAGAAACGCAGTCAACCTCACCCAGATGTGTACTGCAAAACAGAGACCACTCACTGGACACGCTACACTAGTGAGGAAACGAGCAGGAGCTGGTTTGGGAAGGTCCTGGAGTACAGCAGTGCAACCCCTACACCACGGCTTGCAGCCGTGGCACAAAGGGGACTTCAGCTACAACAGCGGATCCAGGCAGAACTCAAAACACTGACCCCGTTTTGGATGGTGCACTCGTGGCTTCCTTACCATTAAGAGCAACAATACGAGCAAGAACACAATAAATAACAAATCCTAAACTTACCAGTGTTGCTGTCAGCAAGGAATAGCAGCAAAGCTAACAGCAGAAGAGCCACCGGCAAAAAACCCTCTATTTGGCATTTGAAAGGAGGCAGAATCTGAACAGATACATTCAAGGTAGCAAAGCCTCATCAAAACATCCAAGCTGATAAGAGCTTAAGAATGGAGAATGACATTAGAGAGGGCTTTACCTGCCTGAAAAATGAAAACAAGACTGCACATTTCTATCAGGGAACTCTCAGAATAGCAAGTATTTTCCACTTGGTTAGTCTAATTAGCGCAGTACCGGAAACGTTAAATATTGTTTCCTGTCATTCACTCTGCAATGCATTCTTGCTTCCTTTTCTATTGTAATCCCACATTTTCCTAGAATACCCAACTGGTGCAAAACACCAGTCCAGCTCCAAGGGTAACAGCAATGGTGTAAGTACAACCACCGCAGAAGAGGGATCAGGCGGCCAAAAGCACTTCCAGCTCTCAGAGTGGACGAACAGAACAGCAGCATCGAAGAAACAAACCCTTGGCCTACAGGAGT